CCCCAAAACCCCAAAACCCCAAAACCCCGTGGAACAAGAAATTTTCCCAGATTGAAATAAATTTGATACAGATAAACAAAAACTAAACATTAAAAAGTTTGAATTATCTCAACTAGCATATATATAGAATTAATATATTCAGCTTATACACAAATAAATGAGCACTTACTTTGAATCAGCCATTTTTAAAATAAACTTTGTCTCTGCAACTTTATACAAGGACCTTGCAGTATTTGGGAAGATGGACCCGTACCTTGAATTTTAATTCGCTGATTAAAAGCTTCAATCTAGAGCTCACGAGAACGGAGGCATAAATCCTGTTTGGAACAACAGTCATTTTATCTAGATTCATTAGCATCTACTCAAATAAGAAGTAACGTTGACAGTCTATTCTCAAGGCTTAAGAAATGATGGAATGATAGCTACAGGAAAGTTTGAACTTCGAGAGTTCTTAAGCGGATAATTCAAGGGAAAGCAAGGGATATTCAAGCTCTTCGAGAAAAACAAAAATCATGTTGCTACTATCTACATTAATACTGAGTACATTCAAGCAATGAAGAATCTTTGCATTCCTTAGTCGCACATTCAACTTACACTTATCTAAGGATTTCTACATAGGGATACTGAGATTATTGGTAAAATGGATCCATACGTGGTATTCTCACATTAAGATATCAAAGTTAGATCTAAGACGAAAAGCAATGCAGGTTAAAAGCCAGTATGGGGAGAGACCTTTAGTTTTAAATCTAACAATCTGTATGAGGATCTTGACATTCAAGTTTTTGATGAGGATTTAATAGGGAGTGAAATTATTTGCCAAAAAACTTTTAAACTTTTTGAAATCTATAACTTCCTTACTTGATCATTTAATGGATGGGTAGTTTTATACTATGGAGGTAAGGTTGCCGGTAAACTGTAGTTAGACGTCAAATTTTCAGAGATAAAGCAGCAGAAATTCGATGCTAAATCATAAGGAGAACTCTATGTGAAACTTGTTCATGGAACATTCCTAAGAAATTAAGACTTACTTTCCAAGATGGATCCTCGTGTTATGATTGAGATTGGAGACGAGAGTTTCCTCTCAAGAGCTCACTAGAATGGAGGAGTTACTCCTTTTTGGAACGAAACAATAGTAATAAAGCTTACAAACTTAAGTTAGGAGGCAACTTTCAGAGTTGAAGATGAAGATATTTTTTACCACGATTTCATTGGTGACATGACTATCAGTCTTTAGAAGCTTATTTAAAATCACATTGACATCTATCCTGTCTATGATAAAGACAAAAAGGTTTCTGGATTTATTTTTTTGGAAGTAAGATATATAGAAAAATAGATTTAAAAGATTGAGTTTTTAAAGAAGCGTACTGTTATTCCCAAAATCAAAAAGCCAGAACCTAAAAAAAGATTTTCGGTATAATATGGAAATTGTCGTAGATTTTCGTCAATCAACCAGATAGAAACACTATTAAGGCCTCTGTATATGGGTAATTAGCACATCAATGATGCGGACACTGCTAATGGTAAAAATCCTAAAAATAAAGTCTCTGACAGTAGTGTGAACTCTAAGAAATCTAAAACAAGAAGAAGTAGCGTAGTGACAAAAATAAATAATAGACTTAATTTAGAAATAAGTAAATCAAATAAATCTAGTCCTAAGAATAAGGATTTCTCTCCTGGGAATCGTTTCAATAATAACAGTAACAGAAACAGCTCTTAAAATAATGAAAAAGAGGAGGCTCATCAGCTTGATGATCTACTTAAAGAAGACATCACACTTAGTATTAATTATGCTAAAATGATGTTTCCAAAGATCGAGGAGTAAGTTTACAAAGATTCAACGTATATTTATTTAAACTTATAGAGTTGACTATACTGATGAGCAATCCCCATACTTGAGAAATAATCTAAGATTTAATCAAGGATTTAAAAAAGAGAGTGGAGTCTTCCCTGATCTTTCAGAGAAATATTAGTCAAAGTTGAAAGTGATCCCAGCCATTTCGTATGAGGATGTTGAAATGGAGCAAGAACAAGGGATGAATATGAGCTTAGAAACTGTGTCATAAGTTACATTATCCTAGAATGAATAAATCATGGAAGAAGATGATGACGAGGATAGTGTTATAATAGAAAAAAAATTGAGTTCGCTAGAGAATCATATTTAATTTGAAGCATTAGAAGCCAATCATTAGACAACAAATATCAGTTCATTAAAACCAGAACAACCTCAACAGTAGCAAGAATAGAACGTTAATATAAAGATAGATAACCTTACTACAAAGTTAGAAAATGATTCAATAGATATCTAATAAGAGTAAACCGAAGATAAAACTAGTCAAAAATCTAATATTGATGAGGAAGATAATAATTCAGCATAAGAGAACTTTAGTCTTCCTAGAATCAGCAACATTAGCAATGCTCATGAGATACTAAGAGGCACATTAATAGACTCCAGAATGAATAAATAGATTTAGGTTAAAAAAGGAATAATTAGAAAAAGGACTTAAATTTCTAAAGATAGGAATAGACATATCTTAAATAGAACAACTGGATTTGACTAAGTTAAAATAAAAGATGAGAAACTAAAAACATAGGTAATATCAACTTTAGAGCAAATCAATAAACTTGATAATCTTTTGAAATCTCGTAGAGAATAACAGGCTTCAACTCTAACTAATTTTTTCAATGCTAGGAAAAGTAAGAATAATTCAATTCAGAATAGTCCTCTAAGCAAATCAATTAATGAATCGATTGACGTGAAATTTAAATTGTACCTATAAAGGTCAAATTTAGTAACTCCTACCAAAATCACAGAAAATAAGTTTAATTTTAAGAGAGGTGACACAAGAAAATCAACAGATCTCAATGATAAACTTTTTAAGACACCATTGAGTAGATAAGCACGTTAAGCAGAGCAAGATATAAAGCAGCAACTACCTAAACTAAGAGTTTCAACTGGAAGTCGTGTGGGAAATAGTATAGATTCTGAGATTTCTTCATTAAATACATTCAAAATCTCTTTGAATGAGAAAAGAGAAGTACTTCATTAAAAAAGATTTTTGTCTAGATACGCATAATGATAATATTTCTAGTAAGATTATTTCTTTAAAATTTAAATAATTAGTTAGAGGTTTCACTTGATGTAATAATTTGTATAACTAATCTATTAATGACTAGATTGAAAAGATCATTTAAAATATTCTTTAATTTCATAATTTTTATCACATTTTAATCCTCTCATATTAATTTCAGCCTTGGGGTTTTGGGGTTTTGGGGTTTTGGGG